TTGACTCCACATAAACACAAAGATGAACAACACAGTGGCATTTCCACTATTTTCACCTGAGCTTATGCCACATGCATAATAAATGGTAGAGGAAAAGATCAATTCAGTTCAAATGCCACTGAGAGTGAACACGCATAATTACATTGGTCCTCATTCTGTCATCTTACGTGTATACAAGAGAGTTATTCATTGTCTTACCTACAACCCATGGAAGATCAATTTCCAAAATTGTAGAATGCTTACCCTGTATGAAATACAGAGATGTATCCCAGCTAATTTATTTGGCTTTTATGATATGGTAATTTGTTTCAGAATGTCCTGACAGTGATAGATGTTACTCATAGGTAACCAATGACAGATGAGATCAGTAGCCTAAAATGCCCAAATTATCCTGAAAAGTAAAGAACAGACAAAATCACTAGGTCCTCTAGAGTAGAAAGCACCCAGCGAAGCTGGCACTGTGGCACAGCAGGTTAATGCTCTGGCCTGAAGTGCCAGCATCCCATATGGGCGCCAGTTTGAGACCCAGCTGCTCCACTTCCGATCCAGCTCTCTGCTGTGGTCTGGGAAATCAGTGGAAGATGGCCCAAGTCCTTGGGCCCCTGCACTCATGTGGGCGACCCGGAGGAAGCTGGCTCCTGGCTTCAGATTGGCGCAGCTCCAACCATTGCAGCCAATTGGGGAGTGACCCATCAGATGGAAGACCCCCCACCCTCTCCTCTCTCTATGTAACTCTGACTTGCAAATGAATAAATAAATCTTTAAAAAAAAAAAAAAAGCACCCAGGAATCTCCTTTGGTAAGTGCTGAAGGGTGGGGAATTAATCTATTGACTAGTATATTAGCTTTCTAAGAGCAAAGCACTACAGATTGGGAGGCCTAAATAACAGAAATGTATTATCTCTTTTTCTGGAAGCTGGAAGTCCAAAATCAAAGTATTTGGAGAGTTGGTCCCTTCTGAGTGCTTCAAGAATCTGTTCCCAGCTTTTGATAGTTTGCTGGTGATCTTGAGCATTGCTGTGGAGACACCACTCCAATCTCAATCTTCATGTCCACATTTTGTTCTCCCTGTGTGTGTCTCTCCCCAAGCAAACTTTTTATAGAGACACCAGTCAAAGACTCACCTTACTACAGTGTATGTCATCTTAACCAGTTAAATCTGCAGTGACTTTATTCCCAAATAAAATCTTCCTCTGAGGTTACGACTTCAACATATCTTTTTAGGGGGATACAATTCAATCCTTAACGGCCAGAGAGTACAAAAAAAAAAAAATCCAAAAAGCAAAAAGAAGTCAGCATACAATTTCACACAGGTCAGTTAGCAAAGATCTGCTTTCTGATTTTATACAAATATATTGATATTCCTCCCAGCCACAATAGAAGAAAGTAAACATGATAGTTTTCATGGGGATGTAATCAGTGTATTATTTAGAAAAGGTTCCAGCTCCTCAGATGGTGAAATGTTATTGTAAGAAATGAGATGGAGGGCCAGCGCCATGGTGCAGTAGGTTAATTCTCCACCTGTGGTGCCAGCATCCCATATGGGCGCCAGTTCTAGTCCCAGCTTCCCCTCTTCCAATCGAGCTCTCTGCTATGGCCTGGGAAAGCAGTAGAAGATGGCCCAAGTGCTTGGGCCCCTGCACCCACGTGGGAGACCAGGAAGAAGCACCTGGCTCCTGGCTTCAGATCGGCGTAGCTCCAGCCATTGTGGCCATCTGGGGAGTGAACCAACAGAAGGAAGACCTTTCTCTCTGTCTCTCCCTCTCACTGTCTATAACTCTACCTCTCAAATAAATAAATAAAATCTGGAAGGAAGGAAGGAAGGAAGGAAGGAAGGAAGGAAGGAAGGAAGGAAGGAAGGAGCGAGCTTCATTATCCCTCAGTTAATCTTCTGAGACATCAGCAGCCAGTGGATGATCTGATTAATTTAAGCTATCAAGGACCCAGACATTTGGTATATTGTTGCCACTTTTAACATGAAGCTTCCTCTCCGGGCTCAGATGGCTGCTCTAGCTCTGGCCATCTTGCTCATCCCACAGCTATTAGGAAGGGAACTGGGATAAGGGAGGTTGCACAGCCCTTCTTTTTGAAAGCACAAGTGGGAAGGAGAACAAAGCATTTCTCTCACCCCTTTGAAAAAAACTTAACCAGATGGCTATCCTCAGTTGTCAGGTGCAGTCCTAGGCTATACCCCCATAGGAAGTACAGTCCTATTCTCACAGCCAATCAAAATCATCACCATGGTGGTCATCATTTGGCGTGATTGTTAAGATGCCACTTGGAACACCCACATCCAATATTGGAGTGCCTGTGTTGGAGTCCCAACTCTGCTTCCAATCCCAGCTTCCTGCTAATGCGCACTGTGGGAGGCATCACATGATGGCTCAGGTGCTTCAGCCCCTGCCAACCATGTGGGAAACCCAGATTGACTTCCAGGCTCCTGGCTTTGTTTGGCCCAGCCCAGCTGTTGAAGGCATTTGGAGAGTGAACCAGTGGATGGAAGATCTCTTTCTGAAAGAAAGACAAAGGGGAGGGGAGGGGAAGGGAAGGGAGGGGAGGGAAAGGGAGGGAAGGGGAGGGAAGGGAGGAAAAGGAGAGGAGAGGGGAGGGGAGGGGAGGGGAGGGGAGGAGAGGAGAGGAGAGGAGAGGAGAGGAGAGGAGAGGAGAGGAGAGGAGAGGAGAGGAGAGGAGAGGAGAGGAGGAAAAAGGCAAGGAAAAAAGGAAGGAAAAAAGGGAAAATGAAAGAACATTAAAGCAACACAGACTTTAGAAAAAATTAAGAAATAAAGCCGTCACTCTGGAAGAATGGAAAAGTAGCCATGGTGGGTCATCTCCTTACACACTCTCCATTCTTGTAAACTTACTCACCTTCACACTGTAAAGGCTTGTGCAGTCCTTATTTCTGAAGTTTCTCCCTAACACTTGATATATATTTCACCTTCTTGAAATTTTCTCTCAACTCTCCTAATTCTCCTTACTGTTTCTTCAGTGTTTTCTGGTTCTCCTCCTCCTCCTCCTTCCTAAAAGTAGTTGTTTTCCAAAGGCCTCTTAACCCAATCTTTCCTTCCTATGAGCTCTCCTTTACAAAGTCATCAATTTCCTTGACTTCAACCATTAGTTTGAAGTTGATGCTTCTGGTATCTCTGATTTTGTGCCGCACCTTCTCTGCAATGTCCCCATTCCACATTTCACACTGTCTGTTGCACTCTGCTAACTCTCAGAGTCTCAGATACCTGAAACTAGATTGACAATAGCTTCCTGAAATCTGCTTCCTTTTGCCCCTACTCTCATTCATACTGTTACTGTTGCCCAAACAACATTTCACATCCAATAAGTTATGTTCATTTTAACTCACACACCCAAACCATTCTCATTCACTCCTGAAGTCATTATTCTGGTTCTGAACTCCGTTATTTCTCAGTCCTGCCCGCTCAGCCTCAGTTCTGTCCCCATCCTAATTCTTCCTTCACTAATATCCGAGATTTCAAGGTACCACTTTGAAAAAACAAATCAAGGAGAGCATAGTGCCATTGGAGCCACTTATGATTCAGCTCTCAATGGAAAAATTTTTTTATTTCCTATGATTTTTCAGATACTTACATGCATCATATTACAGAATGCTCAGTGACAGTTAAGGAAATTAAGAGCTGAGTAAATCAAGTGCATACCATTTAACAGGAATTGTGCCAACAGTTTTACCTCATTTTAATTTCATAACCTCAAAACATGAGTGCTATTACTGTTCTCTCTTTAAACATTAAAAAAGAAGTTAAAATATAAAGTATAAAAATTGTATGGGTGTCATATCATTAGGTATATAGTAATAAATATTTCTTCTCTGAATTATGCCACATCTGTCAATATACCTACCCTCCTTTCTTCATAGTATGATCATTGTAATGAATCCCTCATTTTATAATATTAATACCCATTTTCAAAAAAATAGTATGTATGTGTATGAATATAATATATAAAAAGAAAATCAAAATCTAAAATAAAGTTGCTCCCTCATTTCTGAAATAAAAATAAAAAGAAGGAAGGACAGAAGGGAGGAAGGGAGGGAGGGAGGGAGGAAGGGAGGGAGGGAGGGAAGAAAAAGAAATTAGTTGAGATGAAGAAACTGAAGCTTTACGAAACTAACAAATTTACTCAGAACCTGATAGTGGTCAAATGGTGATGCTAGGATTTGAACCAGTTATTTTCCAGATTATCCTCTCTTAACCATGAATTTAATCTCACAGAATTTAGGTCATTATTACTATAACCATTTCAGAAACTAATACTACTACATAGTCTTCTCAAGGTCACAGCCAAATTCAATCTCGTATGAACCAGACTCCAAAACTCATATTTTTCCTTCTACTTTATACAACTTCCCATGTATGTCATATGGGTATAAGCTATTCCTCAGGCTTTATGAGACTTACTGCATCTGAACCACTTAGGCCAAGAGGAACTGACAAAAAGAGGCAATGAGTCGACGCAGCACCATCCACAGTTCTGGAAAGACATCCAAAGAGTTTGCATTCCTCATCATGGTAGCTTCAACCTCATAAAATCACACATGCTAGTGATGGGAATATCACTTAAGGATATCTTCCTCTAAAATACCATCTCACTCCATTGCCATTTAGGGGATGCAGTATCTCCTGCTGAACAAGCTTGTTCTAAACTTGTATTGCTGGGATATTAAGTTCTGGTGTCCATCTAGCTTTTTCTGGTTTGGAGCAAAAAGTAAATCTGATATAGTCAATATTCATCAAAACAGAGAATATGGGAAAGTCCATGTCATCAGATACCCAGTCCCAGTGAACGAAGTAATAGATCACTATTCTTCTCTAGCTAGTGTTGAGCCAATACCACTGCCACCATTCCCAGGTTCTAGTTTGTTCTGTATCCTAAAATACCGCAGCAGTAACATTATGCAGGCAATTAAAGTACATGTCGATGGCTTGATTTTTAGTATTTACAAGTATGAAGGATTTCAAGGTACACAGAAAATGGAAGTAAAATATTAGTTTATTTTGGGTCAAAACAATTTGAAATCCATGCATAGTTTTTTTTCAATATATGCATTTTCCATTAATTTTTTGAAGAGAGTCAGGCTGGGATGCAGGATCTCATGTAAAGGTGCCTTCACTGGCATTACTTGTCATTTCAGTGGGTCTTAAATAGCAAAAAGATATCACATATTTATCTAGCTAGATAGAAAGAAGCAGAAGTCCCTTATACAATCAATTCAAAGAGACTCAATTACAGGCCACCAAGACAGTCAATATCACTGGAAACTTGGGACCAAAATCAATTTCCTTGGTTCTAAAAGTGGATTATATTATTTGAGTAAAGGATAAATACATTCAAGAACACTTGTGTAATAAGCAGTCTCAAGGGGGGGAATGCTAACACAAAGTATAAAACCAAATTATGATTTATGAAGACAAAGTTCAATATCTTCATTTATATTCTAACTATAGCCTTGAAAAACTGCTTGATAATCTATTGTCTACTTGTGCTGTCTTCTTGTCCAGAACACCTGCATGTACACACACTCTCTCCCTCTCCCGTCCCTTCCTCCCTTCTTCCTTTCCTCCTTCACTCTCTCTGTCTCATCATTCAAACTTTCAAATAAATCTTAAAAGAAAAACATCAATGACATCACTGATTGGCTGTATCAAACATGAATTTCAATCAAACCTGAATTTATCACCTCAAGATTTCTTGCAATATGAGACTGTAAATATCTATGTTTAGATCACTGCTGATCGGGGATTTTCTATTTTAACAAAGGTGTGGCAAATATGTACATTTCCCTCTCTGGCATTATATCAGCCTGAAATTCCAAAAGCCAGTATGAAACAGCAAGTTTGATTGGATACCCAAGAGCCAAAAGCATCATCAGGAAGAACTAAAATTCTTTCATCTAGTGATGAAAACATTTGAGCAAAAAAAAAATCGATGTGCTAATATGAGAAAAAGACAATAAGCTTGTTTATATTAGAGGAGAATAAAAAAGAAGGAAGACTGGAAAAGATTATTCACAAGTAAACTCATTTTGGTCACTTTGTCTTAAGTAGCCATAATAAGATGCCTGCCTAGAACACTAGCAGTTGTCCTTACAGTAAAACAATGCCAACATATGAGCATATTTTCCTGTGGTAGATCTTCAGAAACTGGGAAAAAACTGATGAAGCAGTGATTCCATTATGTTGGAGTGGCTATTCTTAGAGTCATTTTTGTCATTTTCCATACTGACTTACATATAAATCATCATCTTTTGTTCCTATTTTTTGAAGCAGATTGTTCACTTGCATATGTCACCATTCATTAGAAAATACTCTCAAGTGTAATTCTTAATTTATTACTAAATATTCTATTGAACATTGACAATTTTACAGAATAGTCATTGAAAAATATAGACCTAAAAGTGGAAACATTCACTACTCTTTGAAGAAGTCACAGTAACCTAAACATCAAATAAGCAGGGTACAAAAAATAAAATGTTGATAAGAGAAACAACATCTGCTTGAAAATACTCATAGTTTTCCCACCAACGGAACCCACTACTATCTACCCTCTCCACCAGTTTCAGTAGTTTCCTTCCCATAGTTTTGCTCCAATGAGCCTCTCTCCAGCAGCAACCACAGATGCAAACAAGGTCTGAATTTTTATATTAATATATGAAGTCAGTTGCTTTGCAGTGTTCTTTTATGCTCAAGTGAATAACTATGGTATCTACACTGGATGGATTTGGTTTTATTTTTATGCAAAAAAATTAAAAAAAAAAACACACAGAACTGTACGGTCTGGAAGAGGTGAGAGCCAGTGCAAAAACAGGTACTATTGGTTATCGGTGGCTGAGAGTACCAGTCGACAGAGGGTTGGTACACAAGAATCAATAGATGTAGTGGGATACAAAAATATCAGTAGGGTAAAAAAGACTGGTAGGGCACAGGAGGATGCAGAAGGTTCTGTAGGTCACAGTAGGATACAAAAGGACCAGCAGGATGCAATATGATCAGTAGGGTGCAGAAGAATCAGTAGTACACAGTAGGTTACAAAAGTATCAGTGGTTGGTATCACTGTTGCCTTGATATAGATGTCAGCAAGAGGGAATCTTGGGCAGATAGAAAAGCCTCAATGAGAGGAATGAAGATAGTGGAAAATAATTCATAAATTCTTCTACATGACAAGAAATAATGTTTAAGACCATCCCATGTGTTCTTTTGAATCTAGATTGACTACTGTCAGAATCACCTGCTCTTTTAGGCCTCTGATTGATTTACACTGAAGCTGGTGGTGCCATTAGGTGAAATGCTCACAACTCTTAGAGAGCTTGGTTAGCTAATTCTCCAGCAGCTAACTTGCATAGAAAGAGCCTCTAGAGTACTGACTTGACAAATTCTTTCATGTTCTGGAATCGTTCTAATTCAAGATACAGTTAAGCCAAACATCAATTGATGTTAGTATTATCATTATTGCTATCACTATCATTTCAAACCTTAAAGTTTATTTTTTAAGTAAAGGTTATTTTTTCCTTAAAATGCTAAAGCTTTTACACACATAAAAAACGTGACTTGGAGTCTGGAATTTGAATGTGCAGGCTGGAAATTTCTAGCTAACAGGTCATTTTAAGTGCAGTTATCACTTATAGGCAATCAAGGTCAGATTGTCATATCTCATTCTTTGGTACATTAGGCTAGGTATAATGTTCACTGCTGACAAATAATTTTAAAAACTGTACAGAATTTGCCTTCAAATTAGAGTATCCAACACAAATGATATACAACTTGAAGATTACTAATTTTTAAATGTCTCTCTGGAATTATTATAAAAAATTGAATATTTTCCATTAAAATAGTCACTTTTGACACAATACAATCTCATTGCTTAGCAAGACCTAGGAACTAGTATAATACAGGGGATGTAAGTCTAAATAAATATACTATAATTGAATGATCCACAAGTGAATGAGTGAGCAAATGAAAAAAGAACAGATAAATTAGTTTAGAACCTCCCCATTATGGACTGCTTTCCCAAGCCAGCAACATTATCATTTTACTATCAGAACTAATGCAAAAGCTTTATGGTTTTAGGTGAACTTGATTTATGAAAAGAGTAAAAAAAAATCACTTAGAATAAGTCCTGGGAATAAGAGACATAATCCAGTGAGATAAGGACACTTAAGGAAACAGAAGGCATGATCAAAACATTACAAGTGTGACTGTTTTCATAATTGGGCTCTGAAGACAATTTCAGAAATGACTTGAGAATTAACAACTCTAGACCAAGCAAGTCAGCTCCAGGGTGACTGCTTTGAAGAGCCATGCTCATCTGAATATAGAAAAGCTGCCATGCTAATTTCCTGTTTCTCTAATTGGGTGCATACATTTATGGTTAAGGTTTATATAATAATTTTCAAATGGAATTGGAAGAAAAGGTCCTAGAACATCATTGTAATTTTAAGTCCACAAACCTCATTTTTCCTATTTGTAAAATAAAGGATCAAACTATACAATGTCTATAAAGGTTTTCAGGGTGAACATCCAAGGATTCTATAAATAAACAGGTTAAATATTGTTCACACAGCTTTGAATACTCTAACATTTTGGAAGTTTCATATTCAAGGCAACTGTTCTTCAATCACAAGACCTCAAGATAAACCACGCTTTTAAGTTGTAGACCACAGGGTACAAGGCTGTTGGGCAAGAAAAAAGTGCATCAATGGGATTTTTCTCTCTCAGTCCCTGTCCCTCCTCCTATCAGTCTCCCTTTTCTTCTTTTCTTCTCCCTCTCTCCCTCTGTCTCCCATCCCCAGTCCTATTAGCAGTAAATTATCTGTCCCTACACAGGGACAATTATAGAAGTCAACATGGTGGTTCACACTCATGTGAAATCAGTCATATAACATACACAGAGAAAAGCTATCCTTTAAATGACATGCCAACTTTCCTCTAAGTAGTTACAACTTCAAAAGCAGAAGAAGTGCCTTCAAAGGAAAGTATGACAGCTGGCTTCAGAAGTTCCTGCTTCCGATTGTGTCCAAAATATCTTATTCTGTAGATCCCAGGCTGGGCAGTGTCTGGAATATGCCATTCTATCGTTGCATTGCTCTGACCCAGTAATCCCTTGTGCCAATAAAAACTGTTGATAGAAAACAAACAACAAGCACAACCCAATTTTACTCTTAAGAATGTATCAGTAGAAAAATGTGATTATTCATTCAATGACAATTAAGGGAATCCATACAATGAGCAAGGCACATTTCTAGACATTGAGGATACAGCAACAAATGAAGACATAAATATTTTTTCTATAAGAGGAACTTTAAAGAATAGGTACTTGTAGAAGCATCTTTGTCTTATCTTTCTAACAACCTAACTCTATCCACCCACAAAGTCTCACTCGATATTCAGAATACAGATATCTCCTGCTTTGAACAGCCCTTGTCATACTCTGCATAAGCCTGACACTTATTTTCACATCTAGATTAATGCATTAAAATGTGTATTTGATGAGCACATGCACCACCCTATTCTGAAAGCACTAAGAACATAATAGCGACCAAGAGAGAGAGATGATCTAGAGATGGCTTAACGCATCATAAAGCTTGTGTTCATGTATTAGTGCGGTGAGTATGGCAATAAACAAAACTAACAAATAAACCAATAAATCTTTACGCAAAGGAATAAATAAGATAGAAATCTCAGTAAGGAGGTATCATTTAAATGGAGTCCATAGAGATCTGGAGGAAGAATATTTTAGGAAGAGGAACAGAGAGTAAGTGTCTGGAGTAGGAATAGACATGATGTGACCAAGGAACAGACAGCGGGTCAGCAGGAACAGGGCATCCTGAACCAGGGAAGAGTGGCTGAGATGAGATAAATGAAAGGAGCAGAATTGTACTAACTCCTGTAGACCACAGCAGGAGCTCAGATTCTCTTCTGAATATAGTGAGACTCTACAAGCTATCAGCTAATATCCTCAGTTAGGCAAAAAGCAAATCCTGAGGGAGCAGAGTATTTGCTCACTATATGACATTTCTCAGTGATAGCTCAGTGCTCTCAATAAATAGTAGTTGCTTTTGGTGCTGATAAACAAAATGTATACCTATCCTCAGCATTGACTATTACTCTAATTTTAGCCTTTGAAACTATATCACCTTTTTTATTATCTGTATAACATTTTTTAACCAAAATAGTACTATTTTCTTAAATCACCTATCCTCTAGAATCCTAAAGACAAAGCTATACCTGTATAGCTATCAAGTGTTCACAAATGGTCTCATGCCTATTTCCAGTTAACCACATGAGCCAAACCAACATAGAAAAAAATCACTCGGTTTAAGGCAATCTGAATTAGACATCAGGTGCCAAAAACTTCACCTACGTCCACCCCACTCTCTTGTGGTATGAAATGTACAGATTTGTGAACAGACATATTTTCTTATTGGACACAATGTCAACTCTTCAAAATATTACTTTGCTGACAATTTTGATAACAAAAGACATAGAGATCAATCTCTCAGGAAGTTCCATGAACCCATGACCTCCTTGCCTGAGTCACTGATAGTTAAACATCAAGCCTCTTGTGTTTCAGTGTCCCAAGTGATGAATCACTGGCTATACAAAATAGGTACCACATGTTGGGAATAGGTTCACTATTTTCCCAGTAGCAATGCCAGGCTCTGCAGAGCTACCTCAACTTCTTCACCAAACATTCCTTTCAATCAATTTGCAAGAAGGCTAGGAGAATTGGGGATAATATCGTAACCATGGAAAAGCAAAACTAACAAGATGTCTATAAGAATGGAAGCTATAAGCTCAATAGGCCCTATTCTGAAAAAAGTATGACAGTACATTGTTTTGTTTTTGTTTTTGTTTTTGGAGAAAAATATAACCAAAATGGAGTTTAATAAATCAACTAAATACAGTCAAATGGCCTCCTTGAAAATTTGTTATCATTAATACCAGGAATTAAATCAGTCCACTCATTTGTGTTCCCTGCACTATTAACAAATGATGTTCAACAAATATTCAATAGATACTCTCACCGAGTCTCCCATGAAGCATCATTATACACTATGTGCCACGTTGCTGAAGCGTCCTCATATTTTTCCACAGTGAGGAAGGTTGAGTGGGTCTGAAATGTAATTGATATAACTGATCAGGAAGTGCACACTCACAAAAAAGGATGCCCTCTATATATGCTTCTCTTTGTGATGATACACTAAACAATTGACACTGAACAGTCTGTGCAATGTCTTCAGAATGCCAATTTGCCAGCCTATTAAACACCATAACATTTTTAGAAATATGAAAGAAGTATAATCAGGGAACTGATAACCAATTTTTGAAACTAGAGCAGATTAAAAAATTGGGAATAAAACTTGAAACTTAAAAAAGATATAAGGCAAACCTTTTCGGCCGGCGCCATGGTTCAATAGGCTAATCCTCCGCCTGTGGCACCGGCACACCGGGTTCTAGTCCCGGTCAGGGCACCGGATTCTGTCCCGGTTGCTCCTCTTCCAGGCCAGCTCTCTGCTGTGGCCCGGGAGTGCAGTGGAGGATGGCCCAAGTGCTTGGGCCCTGCACCCCATGGGAGACCAGGAGAAGCACCTGGCTCCTGGCTTCGGATCAGCACGGTGCGCTGATTGGAGGGTGAACCAATGGCAAAGGAAAACCTCTCTCTCTGTCACTCTCTCTTACTGTCCACTCTGCCTGTCAAAAAAAAAGGCAAACTTTTTCATGACACGCTTACTGATTTATACTCCGAGATTTTCTCTAGTAACTTGAAGATATAGGATGCAAAATGCTAACGTTTCTTTATCTTTCTATCTCTGGGTAAGTGAATTATTAGTTATTCCACCTCCCCAAGTGAAAGAATTCAAAAGAACAAGTCTTCCTTGTCCTGGGATGCATTTTGTCATAAATTCCTAGAAACCACACCTCAAGCAGAGTCTATTTCCCCATTGGAAGACTGCCATAATAGAGCAATTTGTTTCCATTCCAAATAAAACACAAATTTGAATGATGGGACAATACATTTAAGAAGCTATAAATCTCCAATTTACCTCAAAATCTCCCAGATTGTGATCCATAAAGACAGGACTTGTGCCTAATTCACCTGTACCCATCACAGTCCTTTTTACCTGTCATTTACTGGTCCTCGAAATAACTACTTTTGGGATGGATTATTTATTTACAACTGGGCCATGTAATTGTTTAAGATTCTTCTCTAATTTTTCAACCAATAGATTATATTCAATTGAGAAGTTTTCATAGCCAGGGTGACTTGTAAAGAAACCTATTTCTGTCCACTTAGATAGGCATGACATTGGGAAGGCAATGGATGGAGTAGGAGATATAGTGGGCTCTACTGATTAGGTTATATACAGATGGGAGAACAAGTCTAGACCACTGAGTATCAGCATCAAAATGAGACTGTCCTTTTCCCACCAACTTAACCACAATTTCTCCCAGATGCATAATTACATAATACAAATTAATTAATCTCTCTAGAGTACAGTTTATACATCTGTAAAGTATCCTAAAATGCAACTCACTAAGTACAGGTGAGGATTAAAATAGATTGATGACATACTGTACAAGGGAGCTGCAAAAAGTTTGTGGAAAATGGAATAGAACAATAATGCACAGTTTCCATGAACTTTTTGAAGCTCCCTCCTACATAAAGCACTTGGGCTCGTACCTGCAAATGGTGACTATTAGATAGTGATGATGATGATAACAATGACAAGGACGATGAAGATGATGTGGTGATTGTTGGTAATACAGTATGTTGGAAACTATTTTACACCAAGTTCCAGAGGATTCTTAGAAATTAATTCTGTTCTCATTATATTGCTTTAAGCATTTTGTTTTCTTACCAGCCCACGGCAATAATGATAGTGATGTTTCTCCATCCTAAGGATAGTAGGTGGCAGCTAAAGCTGTAGTTTTGAAGCAGTACTTTTATATATTCAGAAAATAGTATTACAAGCCTGTCGATATTCAGTTACAGCTTGACTTCCCAGAAAAATTATTTCAAATAGGTGCATACTGATTCTCCAAGCAATAGAACATTTCTCCCCAGTGTTATGCTTGACAATGTCATATTGCTGCAATTGTTACCATGGCAAGAATGATATTTTAATGAACAGAAATGAGAAGGCCCATTCTGAGTGAATGTGTCCTCAGCTATTGTAAAATAATATAAAATCAGTTTCATATGGCCACTCTCTTTTTCTTCTACAAATTTCCTTATTGTTTGAATTCTTACAAATACAATGTGTCCAGTTATTGTTTGTGTAGTTATAAGAACAGTTAAAGTCAACTACAGAAGACTAAAATTGCTTCTTTTTATTACTAGACATATTATGTATGCATATAATTTACAATATACACAAGAAGAAACAAAAAAAGCCTGAAATGCTTTGTCACAAACATTAACAATGACTAGCTCTGAAAAGTGGACGTGGGGAGAAGGGTACTTTCACAATCTACTCTAAGTACTTCTATCTTGTTTGGTTTTACATTGAACACATATTTCTCAGGTAATTTTTCAAGATTAATATATAAATGCCATATTATTGCCAGTAGGAAAGAGTGAGGAAATAGTTATTGCAAGATAAAGTAAAACAGATGGACTAGGACTCCCAGACCATAGGACAATCATTCAGATATCCAGTCATTCTACAGCTGTAGAGGTTAAGACCAGAGGAAGCACCGGCATCACGGCTCGCTAGGCTAATCCTCCGCCTTGCGGCACCGGCACACCGGGTTCTAGTCCAAGTCCGGGCGCCGGATTCTGTCCCAGTTGCCCCTCTTCCAGGCCAGCTCTCTGCTATGGCCTGGGGAGTGCAGTGGAGGATGGCCCAAGTGCTTGGGCCTTGCGCCCCATGGGAGACCAGGAGAAGCACCTGGCTCCTGGCTTCAGAACAGCACAGTGCACTGGCCACAGCGTGCCGGCCACGGCGGCCATTGGAGGATGAACCAACGGCAAAGGAAGACCTTTCTCTCTGTCTCTCTCTCTCACTGTCCACTCTGCCTGTTAAAAAAAAAAAAAAATACCAGAGGTGGCAAAGTGCGAGAGAAGCACAGGACTGGACAGGAAAAAGCCAAAGACACAATTCATCTGTTTTGTCTCTTGACTTTTTTACCAAATTTAGTAGAGTTCTCTATTTGTATACAAAAATGGGACTATGTTGAAGTTAACATCATCTCAAAAGATGATGCAATCCTATGACAGGTCTTCAAAAGGTTTCTGAGAATACGTATTTTGAGAAATTATGCATGAACTTCAAATTTTTCAGCACCAAAATCATCTTTTAAGTTCATTTTCCATAAGCTTTTTGAAGTTCTTTCCTATATGCATTGTGCTATACTTATAGGTGATTCTAAAAAGAGCAAGCTAAATGTGTCCTATGTGCTTTCTTCTAGACTCAATTCCATATTGGTTATGTCCACTGAATATTTCCTCACATCTGAAAAATAATATAGAAAATAAGTTGGCACTTTTTACCATTACGTTGTTAACCTTTACATAGATGTTCTCTAGAGCGAAAGAGAAACTAAAAAGAATTCAAATTTCCAAAAAGATAATCATTGATTCTTAATTCTTACCTGGTTTTCTGCTGAATTCTTTGGGTTAGCACCTACAAATACAACTTCAACAACTTCTCCCTGAAAACAAAAACTTACTTAATGACTTCTAATAAAAGCATTTTTGCCATACTTCTATTTGAGGCATGATCTATTATCTGTTCTAGGATTCTGGATTCCTGTGAATATTCTTTTTTATTTAGTCAAATGAAGTCTGAGAATATTAGAGAAAATATCCTTGCAACACTGGGCACAAGACTTTTTGGCCAAGGAATTTACTCTCAGCAGATCTGGTTACAGATCTAGAGCTATCATTACAAAATAAATCATCAAAAAAACCCTATTGGAACTAATGAATGATTTAGCAAAGTTGCAAGATACAACATAATATAATAATACAGATGCTGCTTCATTTTTATGTGCTTTTCCTATTTTTGATTTAAAAGACAATTTCTCTTAGCTTCAGTTAATGGTTCCATGACTGTACATTTGAGAAATGGAATCTGATTACAAAATAATTCATTTTAAAAATTAAAAGAATGAATAATAAAGGAAGGAGGAAGGAGGGCAGGAGCATGGACAGAAGGGAGGGTGAGAAGTATCACCATGCTCCTGAATCTGTTTATATGGAATATATGCAATTGTTTACTTTATATAAAATAAATAAATAGATAAAATAATGAAAAGGGCATTATTTGAATTTTAGAAATCCAATTTTGCATAATTACCCCCATAAAAATATTTTTTCCAATCACCACTGTAGAGATAAATACAGATGTCCAAATGAGCATTGTGAATGCACATCTGTGGTATAATTAGAATCAGGCAGCATTAAATAACACCCCTGCCCTCACCCCCCAAAACAGGCCTCTGAAATATTATAAGACCCCTCTGAGTCTTACCACTCTGTATTCAGGTTTCGCTGGCTGTAGGACATCCCCAAAATTTCTGCCTAATGGTGCTCTATCTGCAATATTAGGAATTAACGGGCTTATAAGCTGTGTGAAAAACGGAGGCTCGGGGCCTTGGCTCAGGTTGGCTACTGTGTCCTAGAAGAGAAAGCATTTGCTAAAGTAGTGCACAATATCAATGCAAAGACCCTTTACCCAGCCCTCTAACCCCTAAGAAATCCTTTCGCCAAAGGAAGTATGCACACACATACACACACACACAGGCTCACACTCCAAGAGCTAACAACTTTGAACAAAATGAGGTGAATCTTGCTAAGATGTGAGCCTGTAAGTGCATAATTTAAACTTTTGTCACTATTCCCCTAGACAGAACAGTCCAGCAATCAGAGTATAAGCTTCAAATCTGTACTACTCAGGTGTGGATTTGGGGCAGCTCTTTTTAAATTCTGTGACTTAGGAAAGGAGCCTAACACATGATAAATCTTTACACAACAACACTGTAATTAGCCTTCTAATTTTTAAAAAGGATTGAATTTCTTTCACCTAGAGTCAATACTAAGATTTTTCCTGAATCCTTCTATGCTAATTAAGAAATATAATGAATATACTTTTATTTAAGATCTACAATTAGTCTACATCTTGATGGATTTAATCTGTTTTCTATAAAATTTACCTCTTTGACTTTGTCATCAAAATGCAAATCTTGATTATTGAATAACCCATGATATATTTATAGTTCTTTAATCCTCACATTATATATTTAATCTTTATAACTCCCATATGAGATGGATGTGTATTGTCATTTTCAGTTTGCAAATGAGAAAATAGCCTTGGAGATACTTCGTGGGTTGCTTCCAAGATGACACAGCTAGTCCTAAGATGCATGACCATGAGGTTGACCATGGAACAAATTTATGCAAAATGAATCACAATTTTCTTCACTTCATTTCACTATAAAATTTGAAGAATCAATTTCTACAGTAAGAATGACAGCTCTTTGTCCATGAAAGTTAAATAGCATAGTTATGTTCAAGGATGGGGTAAAGGTTTACACTTTTTTGTACAACATAGATATCCTACAAGTAAGTTGAGCTTTTGTGATAAAAATAAAAATAGTTCTACTTCAAAGAGAAAGTAACAGACCTGAAACTGAGATGAACATTATGACAAAATAATAGTCAAATCATTAAAATACCAACAGAGTAAGCACATTGTCCTGAAATTTCAAGCACACAATCAGCAGGTAATCATGGGAACCAATGAACTTCCCAATATTCAACTGACTTGACTGCAGAAACAGCAAATTCATTTGTTCCAATCTAATATATCCACGCTTGCTTTAAATGAGCTTAATTGCTTTAGCTATGCCATATTTATGTCACCATTTTTATTTAGGTGGATATGTTATTATATAAAGGCCTGTTTATTACTGTAAGCTTTTTATCATGTTTGTTGACTAATCTTCTGAAACCACAACTTCAGCTTCATAAATAATTACATCCCAATTGAAGATTTCTGCCACTGTGTTCCTTTAAATCAAGTTAACTCAGGTGTATACATTTTAGGAAGATATAATGTGTGCATTCCAGGGTGCTATAGTATTTCACCAAATCTAAGCCTCTTTAGATTATAGCAACTTATTTTTTGGATCATCAAAAAAGTAAAAGCATACTACTAATTATAATAATATTTCTGATTGGAAGATGGATCCCAATTTCAGAGATACTATAATGTGTGAAATGAGCATCTTAGGATTAATCTACTCAACTCTTGGTGTGACTGGACAGAATCTGGTGAGAATTCAACGACAGTGGTTCACCTCCAAGTTAAAATTGCACTGAGCCTGATCACTTATCACCTTCAAGTCCATGTGCTCATTGGAAAACTGGAGGTAATGATATCGTCTTACTTTACATAATGGCTATAAAGCATAATGAGATAATATATATGAAAAAAGGCTGCCACACAAAAGGATGTTAATAAATCTGAATTTTAGTATTAGTAAGATTTTTCTTTTCTTAAAGATGCTGTATAGTTCTAATTTTTTAACTACAAAGATTGTCCGACATACTGAACACTCAAAGCTAAGGTTCTCTTCTGCTTCTCTCTGTATTTCCTCACTCTGAAGCAAATACTCACACATACACATACATATACACATACGCAAACATACAATATTATCTTACTGTAGCAATGGCCTTAGCAAGGCCTCTGAACAGCTGGATGTAAGCAGACAGAGTATGTGGTCCATAAATTGTAGATGCTGCCTCGTATCGCTGAGCCTGCAGGATAATCAAGGAGAGTTGCCTATAGTTCTCCAGATTTCAACCCACTTACAGTGGTGTAACATTTCAGGAAGCTAATGCCTGAAAATTTCACATTACTCTAAACCAGCATATCTTCAAGATTATTGTTGACAAAAGAAGGTATAGGCATTTCCATTTGTCCACTAAAGTAAGCTGCTCCCATCAACTACTTGTTAAAGGCAGTGGCTTCTCTTTGCTTAAGCCACTTGGACCTTCACTCCATTTTCTCTGGAAGATGATGTGAGTTTCTGAGCTTTCACCCATTATAAGCACTTACATAGTAAATGTTTCCCCAAGGGAAACATCAAGGAGAGAAAGAGTTAATGCCAACTCCCGGGTTAGCTTGAAGTTGGTGGTCCCCTCTGGAGGACATGGAACCCTTCAGAGAGCTATGAAGAGAGTCAAATGCTTCTCCTTTAACCCGGGGACCAAGACCACAGTTCTTTCACATAAACCTCAAAGTCATCAATTCTAAAAGGAAATTCATGGCTCCAGACATATCAGCTTCCCCTGTAACATTCTGCATCACGGACAATGCCTATCTCTCACACAAGGAAATTGCATTAGAAATCATATTAGACTTATCTTTCTCTTTCTTCCTATATCTTGTAAATTTCCAAATCAAGTCATCTGGGCTCCTAAAAAATCTCTTGAGGGGCCAGTGTTGTGGTACAGTGGTTTAAGCTGCTACCTGCAACACCAGCATCCCATATGAGTGCCCCAGCTGCTCCACTTCCAATCTAGCTCTCTGCTGATGAGCCTGGGGAAGGTGCAGAAGATGGCCCAAGTGCTTGGACCCTTGCCATTCATGTGGGAGACTTGATTGGATTTCTGGGTTCCAGACTTTGGCCTGGCTCAGCTCCAGCCATTGCAACCATTTGGGGAGTCAATCAGAAGATGGAAGATCTCCCTCCCACTCTTCTCCCCACTCCCCCATAACCTTAACTTTCAAATATATTTTTTTAAAAATCTCCTGAGTTGATCCATTTTCCTCTGATTCTACTACTTTTAGTTTTGCCTAAACCCTCATCTCCACTCAGACCTTAACTACAGCATCTTATTCTGTTCTCTCTCCTGGCAATTCACTGCCCACACGGCCATTCTAGTGACTTTTTCAGATCTCAGGTATGATCACAGCATGCTCTCTCCTACTGCACTACCCCAAAACCTCGCCTACAGAGTCAAAGCAATATAGCATTACATACAAGACAATTCCTCAGCTTACCCCGTCTCACACGCTAGCCTCTGTCTCATAGCCATTACCCTCAACAGACTTACTCCATGATACTCAGCGAATTATGGTTACGAAGCGCCAATGTTGACCTTTGCATGTGTAGTTCCCTCTATAGAGAACATCCTTCTCATTTGTATTTGCCTGACTAACCCTCGCTTGTTCTCAAGGACTCAGATTGATGTTGACTTTCCCTGAGGTCTGCCAGTCTTGCTCTGTGGTCATAGCACCTGTGCATGCCTTTCATGGAACTATAGTCATCTGCTTTTCTCTCTGTTAGACCACGCACTTCTAGTGGTCTGGACAACAGTGCAGATTATTTTCAGTGTTCTGCCCCAGAAAGTATCCAATGCAATGTCTCATAACACACATCTGTGCAGTTAATGTGTGAATTAAGCTATTAATTAATTAGTAGTTTTTCTGGTAGGAGCTCGTCCCTCAGCCAGGAGGCAGCTAATAAGGGTTCTTAAATTTGGGGAAGGCAGTCTGCTGAGATTTACGGATACCTCTCAGAATAGTTGTTTCAAATGCATAAAACACCTAAGATTGATATAGAGAATCGACTAGATTGAAACATATGTATTAAACTACAATAAGCCAAGCTTGTGATATTTTAAGGTATGTGCTTCTTTACTATGCTAATGAATAACAAGATTTAGAAGTAGATCTAATAACTGCTTCGATTTTAAAATAATAATAAAAGATATTTCCTGTTGCTCCCCGTCTTCGTGGAGGAACGACACAGGACCCTGCGCTGTTCTTTTGTCTGCTCGGCCCTCCCCGGGTTTGCTGCTGGTTCTTCCCGGGTTGGCTACCGACCCTTCCACCTCTGTGGAAGGGCCGTTCCCCCTGCCACTTTCCCCACTTCCGCGGGGGAGCAGCACACCGCCGGCCGGCTCTCTCGGGGGCTGCTCAGATGTTCCTCTTAGATGTTCCTGGTGCATGTTGTCTCTCTCCTCCTTTATAGTCCTCTTCCACCAATCCCAACTCTGCTACCCACACGCCGAGTACGCTGCTCTCCTCCAATCAGGAGCAGGATCAGCTCCTGCAGGTCATCACTCAAGTTGGCGAGAGGCAGCTGCGTAGAAGTTGTTACTCCCTTCTCAGCACCATATTGTGGGAGAGCAGATGCATAGAATAAGTCTTAATTCCAGTAACAGTCTAATCCGAGTTGCTCCCCACAATTTCCAGATACACAAAAACTGTATGTGACACAAAAATATTTGTGGTTCCTACTAGTGACAAAGTCACCACTAATATTGTTGGCAGTCTACATTCATAATTGAAGGAAATGGTAAAAACAGAGAATCATGAAGAAAATTTTGTCATCGTTCCTATCCAAATTCACTCCAATTAAGAAGCCATATTTGACAGGATTTCCTAGAAAGCAGTGGCCTTCAGAGAGCAGCAGGCACAGTCCTCTTTTGGTGTCAGTGAGCACTTGTCAAGGGGCCCACTATATGCCTATGTGCTGCTGCTAGAGCAGCAGGTATTTCAGAAGTCGTTACTGTCCCCATGCTTTTAACTACTACTGTTTAAAAAAAAGTGCTTTTGTTGCTCAACGGACTATTTCTAAACAAAGAAGCCTGACCAGCCACAAGTCTCACCTACACTCAGGGAGTCTGTTTTCAAATCTAAAATGTGGTTATAGTAACATCTTACTGCAAGACGAGCTGTAAGGATTGCTGAAGATCATATCATCAGCGTACTGAACTAGTATATTCAATAAACCGCGGCTGTCACTGAGAGTGTTGTTCCAAGGTTTTACTGAAGAGCAAGACAGCAGATGCTTTATGGATAGATTTAGGATGCTGTATGTCACAATCCAGGCTTGCTACCAGTGCCCCTGGCAAAATAGCTGATTTCAGGAAACATGGAAGTCAGTGGGACTAGGATTCTAGCCTGAACTTGGAAAGGAGGAACATGGAACTCCAAAAACCAAACTGTGACTTCTCATTCTCTAACTTTCCTACCTAAAACAAAATCATCTCTCAGAAACATGATTGGGGAAGTCATGAAATCTGACATAATTGTTTTGATGAAGGTATAATTCATTTACATGATGAGAAGTTTGTACTTTACCTGGTATTCTTCATAAGTGGTAATGTAATGTGTATAAACATTGCATAGACCTGAAATAACAATAGTCATGTTCTTCATGCCATAAGATGCAAATTCCTAGGAGGGAAAAGTAGAACTAAGTAAAATCACACCATATCTGAAAGTATATTTTCATCCTAGAATACTAAATTCACAGTCATTGATGGGAATGGCTAATTTAAGACGATGCTCAACCAAATTCTCCCCAATGGCTAAAAATGCCTAAAAGCAGAGGCATCCAAAAATCCTTGAGGAAAGGTATAACCATAACTCTGCATTATTTTCTGGTAATTCAGTGGCTCTTTGAACATTTTTTTTTTTGACAGGCAGAGTTAGACAGTGAGAGAGAGAGACAGAGAGAAAGGTCTTCCTTTTCCATTGGTTCACCCCCCCAAATGGCCACCATAGCCAGCGTGCTGCACCGATCTGAAGCCAGGGGCCAGGTGCTTCTCCTGGTCTCCCATGCCGGGGCAGAGCCCAAGCACTTGGGCCATCCTCCACTGCCTTCCCGGGCCACAGCAGAGCTGGACTGCAAGAGGAGCAACCAGGACAGAATCCAGTGCCCCAACCAGGACTAGAACCTGGGGTGCCAGCACCGCAGGTGGAGGATTAGCCAAGTGAGCTGCGGCACCAGCCTCTTTGAACATCTTAATGATCATATTTGCAGATGTAGGACCTTATCATCAAAATAGAGATTTTTTTAAACCAATTTCCTAAAAAGATAAAACAGATGTACAATATCTAACCAGAATGGTTATTTCAATGTCCAAGAAACAAAACACGAATTGAAATGTCAGTTTAGAAGTATTTACAATACTCTTTGAGCACAAAAAAAATCATTATTAGAAACAAAATATAGCATTCCCAAAATGTCAAGCATTTTATTGGGACTATTCACAGGGCTTTAAGATTTTAAGGTACTTATGGGACTACTTACTATTTTATTCACAATATTATTACCAAATTTTAGATTATTCATACATACATTCTAATAAAATATTTTTAACTTGATAATGATTTCTTGTATTTTTAAGTCTGGCTCTCATATCATCAATGTTTCCTGCCCACTTCTAGCCACTGTCTTCAAGAAAAGTGAAACTTTCATCATGTTAGGAAAGATTAAAAGGTACCAGATCAGGGCCAGCCCTGTGGTGCATTAGGTTAAGCTTCTGACTACAACACCAACATCACATATCAGAGCGCTGGTTTGAGCCCAGGCTGCTCCACTTCCAATCCAGATTCCTGCTCATGCATGTGGGAAAGAAGCAAATCATGGCCCAAGAATCTTGGCCCCTGCCATCCATGTGGCAGACCTGAATGTTGTTCCCAGCTCCTGACTTCAGCCTGCCAAGATCTGGCTGTTGTGGCCATTTGAGGAATGTACCATCAGATGAAAGATAACTCTGTGTGTGTGTCTTTAACTCTGCCATTCAAATAAATAAATAAATATTTTTCAATAGAAATATCAAATCAAAGGGGTAGGGAATCCTTTCTTCCCAAAAATTAAAGTATAGATATTTCACTTAATTTGTACAAAACTACTTAAAAATTATCTTTATTTGATCTTAAAGCTGAAAGCATATTATCCTTAGGTTTACATTAAAGTTAACTTATATTTCCAAATCTTGTGAATTATAGACTTACTGCTTGAACTGCCTCTCGAAGTCTTCGTCCAGACATGGTTCTGGGTTAAGAAAATAAAATTATGGTTTCTTATTTAGAATGTGTGCAGAATATGCAGAAAGAATTTTAGTGAAAGCCAAAAAATTACTCAGGATCATTACATAGTAGTAAAATATGTAGGAATCCAATGATGATGCAAAGCTAATGCAGAGCTTTTTTCTCCCTGACTATGCTATCCTCAAAGTCAAATCCTAAGCTGGAAACAGTTAACCAGACCAAAGGAGGGAAACAGAACCAATACAGTCACTGACAAAAGATTACCATCATTTTCCATCTGTTGATTCAACAAAAGCACATCAGGCACTTCTGTATTAGTGACAGTTCAAGCACATGGAGAACATACTAGTCTGTCTTCAAAGAACTTATCATTTCATTAATTCATCCAAGTCTTCAATAAGACATTGAGCACCTACTCCATCCCAGTCCACTTCTGGGTGTTAAGCGTCACACAGTATGGGGCTACATTCTAAGGAGCTGAAATGGCCAACAGGCAAATTAAAAGTCAGATGATGGTAAGTTCTATGGAGAATAATAAAGCAGAGTAAGGATGAAGGAAAGTGGGTGGTGCCAATCACTGGGATGAGGATAGTGGTGTTGTGGTAGTGGCAAAGGTAATGGTGGTAGTAGTGGTGGTGATATGGTCATGGTGGCAGACGAAAGCTACTTTCTATATTGTGAACAGGGCTCAGGGCACCACTGAGATTTGAGCAAAAAAACTGAAAGTAATGAAAAACTTGGCCATGGCAATAGCTGGATGGAAAGTACTCCAGGCAGAAAAATCCCTAAGCTCAAAGGCCCTGATACAAGACCAACCTTGGTGAGTCTGAGAAGTGCAGTGAGGTCAAGGTGGCTGAAACGTGGGCTCGTGAAGAGCTCAGGTGGAAGAGTTTGCTGCACACCAGATCAGGTAAATGTGGATTTACTCCAAGGGTTTTGAGCAACAAGTAGCATGACTTCACTTATGTTTTAAAAACATTAATCTGGCTGACGTTGAAGAAAAAACCATACATGAGTAAAAGAGGAATCACGTAGACCTCCAACATAGCAAGATACTGCAATGATCTGGGTGACAAGAGAGTGGAGGCTTAGGCCAGGGCACTAGTGATAGAAAGTTGTGGGTAGAATATTTACAACTTGCTGAAGAATCAAAAAGAGGGAAAAGAAGCGTGGTGGGTTAGGGGGACCGTTCTGGGAAAACTCCAAGGTACACAGCCCAAGTCACCAGAAATATATCAAACTGCCCCTTACTGAGATGGAAATATTTCATAAGATGCAGATTTTAGACATTCTCTATGCTTTTAATACCTAAACTGACTGTTTCAAGTACCTATATTATTTTAATATGGAAGGATACATTTTTAAACTTTCATGTTTGCTTCAAGTTCCCCATCAGTAATAGGCATAGAAAGAATTAGTCCTCTGAAGCCCCACCAGAAGACGGTAGAAATACTTGTCACTGGTGCTGAACATAGCACAATAGGATACAAAGGGATCAGTACTTAATTATCTTCCCAAAGAAAGGAAGAGGGGAGAGGGGAGAGGGGAGAGGGAGAGAGAGAGAGAGAGAAAGGAAGGGAGAGGGAGGGAGGAAGTATCATATTCTTAGAACTCTACAATGAACTACACTGAATCTGTTCTGTTTGTATTAATTTAACATTACTTAAGAATTAATTAAAAACAAACCCAAGCAGTAATGCCAACAGAAACATACACACACAATAAACATGAACTTACGTAAACTCCCCAGGGATGGCAGTTATGGCCAAGGACCCAATAGTAATAATCTGAACATCAATGATATCTGGATGCCAGGGGTGAGGTTTTGAGAGCTGAGAGTCCAAAACAAAGAGAGTTGTGTTAGGAATACTATTTTTTCTGTGGTCAATAGGTAGATGAGGGTCACAGATGTCCCTTAATTAAAGGATTTCAATATTTCAAGCTAGTTCTTGATTTTTCATCTTATTATAATATTTATTTCTAATTTATGATATTTATAATATTGAGTATTCTACATGGGTATTTATGTCCTCATTAGAACATGTAAATCTCAAATGCCAATGTCCCATTAACCTAGATTTAAATATTTTCAATTTAAATTTTAATTTAAATTTAATTTCAATTTAAATTTTAATTTAAAATTTTCAATGGATTTGCAAAATCACAACATATAACAGATAAGCAAGGGCACTTTTATAGTATTGTGTATGACTGTCTTTATACATAAAGAATAAGTGAATTCCATTTAGAATAGTGTCAGGTTAATGATTTCTCTTTGTACTGCAATAGCACTTCAAGTTTACAGTTCCCAAGTCTTGCCTTATTTTCTGAGGGTCCTCCAAGAAAATCTATCCTCTTCTAGAATCTGTCTCTCCATTCCTCTCTTTTCTCTTTTCCCTAAGAACTTAAATAGAATATTAGAAAAAATTTTTCTACTTTTCAAATTTTCTTCCTTAATAGTCTGATTTTTATGAATACTGGAATGATCCTTTGGCATTCAGAATGTGGAAAATGTATGTTCAAAGGAATGGTAAAAGAAAAGTCTCTTCAGTTTAAAATGTTTCCTGAATTACGAGGAACCTGAGACATGAACACATTTCTCTTTATATAACCTGAGATTTTTTTCCCTCTATATAGAATTTGGTATGGACCTCCCTCCTGGAGCCCACATAAAGGAATGCTGATTAAGGCAATGTTAATTATATTCTTCTTTTGCTGCTGTTTTTTCATTTGCTTATTATACATGTAATTAGGTAAATTAGTATTTTAACAATCATACTCTTATTCTTTAGAGTTAAACCCATAGCATTCATATTTTACTATTAAACTTACCATTCAATATTGAACAGTTCACAAGTAAAAAATAAAAATATAATAATTTAACTATGATCATCAAAATATATTACCTCACCAGTATGAAGAAGGATTGGCTTTGGTTTTTGACATTCTTTGATTTCTTCAGATGGCTTGCCCAGGAGCTGGTCTCGAATGGTGTCCCAAAAGGGATCCCCTTCTTTCATCCCTATTAGGAAATTCTATAATTAGTGGGATTCCTTGAACCACCCCCCTGGAGAAAAAGATCAATATTCAGATAAATATTGTACAACAACCCTTTCAGGAGTTTCAAAGATTGTATTAAGGTGTTGCTGAATGATTTCAAGCAATAACAGAAAAATAGAAGAGGCAGAATTTCCCAAAGATAGCCATTATTTTATTAATCCTCAGAGTGCTTAAGAAAATAACAGAATATACTTTTTCAAATCCTTAAATCTTTATTTCTGTTGCTCTTGCTCATACATATTGCAAGTGAAACCAAACTGATATGAATAACTGTAGATTTGTAAACTAAATCACTTTTTGCCTTTTTTGAAAACTATAAATGACACCTTCAACTCACAGTACCAGGTTTTTGGTTCTTAGTACCTGAAAGAACCTTCCCTGAATCTCTATTAATTAATCTACACACATACACCACAAGCAATAAAACAAAAAACTAGCCTAAAATGCAAAATCTGAGAAACAGTTTTGCCACCTAACAAACCTATGAATTGAGAATCCATAATCCATCATGAAAACAGAACAATTACAACATCCATGTACTAATGAAGGAGCACCAAGTACAAGAACTAAAACTGACAGAAATGAAGAGAAGAATAAACAATTCAACAATAATAATGGAAATTTCAATAACTCATTGTCAGTAATGACTAGCACAAAAATACAGAAGAGCAAGAGAAAAATAGAAAACCTGAACACTAGGAACACCTAACAGAAAGCCTTTGGGGCACTCCCCTCCCAAACCCAACAACAAAATACACATTCTTCTCAAGGTCACGTAGAACATTACCCAAATAGGCAGTGTGCTGCTCATAAAGCATGACTCAGCAAGTTTTACAGGGTAGAAATAATACAAGGTATTTTGCCCAACAACAAGAGAATGAAACTAGAAGTAAATAACAGGAGAAAAATGGAGAAATTCGCAAATATGTGAAAATTGGGCAACATGACCCCCAAAAAACTAATGATGAAAGAAGAAATCAAAATAAAATATGAAAATATTTTATGATAAGGGAAAAGATACAACACATCAAAATTCATTACATGAAGTGACAGCTGGACTCAGTGGCAAATTTATAATTATAAATGTCCACATGGAGAAAAAAAATCTCATATCAATACTCTAACTTATACAAGACTGAAAAAGAGGAGGAGGAGCAAATTAAACCACAATCAAGCAAAAGGAAAGAAATAATAAAGATTAGAGACACAATTAAATAGAGAATCAAAAAAATAGTTAAGGAAATGAAACCAAAATCGGGTTCCTTGAAAAGAAGTCAACAAAATCGACAAAGCTTCAGCTAGACAGAGAAAGGGAAAGAGAAAGAGAAGACTTAAATAATTAGAAACATAAATATGAGAAGACATTACTACTGACTTTTAAAGAAAAAAATTCACATACATATGCATGATAGTATGAGTAATTTCATAACATTATACATAAATAATATGAGTAATTGTATACCAACAAGTTAGAAAGCATAGATAAAATAGACAAATGTTCAGAAAAACACAAAATACCAAAGGTGATTCAAGAATTAGGTGGGGCTGGTGCTGTGGTGCAGCGGGTTAACACCCTGGCCTGAAGCACCGGCATGCCATTTGGGCGCCAGTTTGAGATCCAGCTGCTCCACTTCCAATCCAGCTCTCTGCTGTGGCCTGGGAAAGCAGTGGAAGATGGCCCAAGTCCATGGGCTCCTGCACCCACATGGGAGACCTGGAAGAGACTCTTGGCTCCTGGCTTTGGATCGGCACTGCTCTGGCCATTGCAGCCAATTGGGCAGTGAACCAGAGGATGGAAGACTCTCTCTCTCTCTCTCTCTCTCTCTCTCTCTCTGCCTCCCCTCTCTCTCTGTAACTCTGACTTTCAAATAAATAAATAAATCTTAAAAAAAAAAAGAAGAAGAACTAGATAATCTAAATTTAAACTCCACAAAAAGTAAAGAGATTAAATTAGTAATATTGTGTATGGCACACTACACTCATCACAGTGACTAGAAATAACAAGTAAGATAACAAGTATCATAAAAGTTATGAAAAAAATCAGAACCCTATAAGCTGCTAGTGAGAATGTAAAAGGATACAGCCATTTTATAAATAGTCTGGTAGTTCCTTACACAACTAAACAACATAATTACTGTATGATGCAGGAGTTCCACTCCTAGGTATACACCAAAGAGGAAAAAATGAAAATATATGCTCACACAAAAATCTGTATGTGATTATTTATAGTAACATATTTGTAATAGCTCAAAAAATGCAGTGATTCAAATGACTATCAACAGAGAAACATATAAGCAAAATCTGGTATTTTGCTTTATGGAATATCACTTTGATTTGTGAAATATCACTCAGCCATAAAAAGGAATGAGGTACTGCTACATGCTACAGCACAGAAGAACTTGGAAAGCATGTTAATTGGAAGCCAACAAAAAATGTCACATATCATAATTACATTTATATGAAATATTTAGAATAAGAAAATACAGATACAGAAGGATTAGTGGTTGCTTAAATCTAGGGAATATGGGGGAGTGAAGGAGTACAATAGCTACCAGAAACCATCAAATTACTCAAGAACATTGGAGACACTCTGCAAGATATTGGCATAAGCAAAGACTTCTTGGAAAAGACCCCAGAAGAACAGGCAATCAAAACCAAAATTGACAAATGGAATAACTTCAAGACGAGAAGCTTCTGCACTGCAAAATAAACACTCAGCAAAGTTAAGAGGAAACCAACAGAATAGGAGAAAATATTTGCAAACTACACAACTGATAAAGGGTTAATATCCAGAATCTATAAAGAGATTATAAAATTCAATATTAACAAAACAGTCCAGCTAAGAAATGGACAAAGACTTGAATAGGGATTTTTTTTTTTGACAGGCAGAGTGGACAGTGAGAGAGACAGAGAGAAAGGTCTTCCTTTTTTCTGTTGGTTCACCCCCCAATGGCCGCTGCGGCTGGCACACTGCAGCCAGTGCACTGCGCTGATCTGAAGCCAGGAGCCAAGTGCTTCTCCTGGTCTCCCATGCGGGTGCAGGGCCCAAGGACTTGGGCCATCCTCCAAAGCACTCCCGGGCCACAGCTGAGAGCTGGACTGAAAGAGGAGCAACCAAGACAGACTCCGGTGCCCTGACCGGGACTAGAACCCGGTGTGCCAGCACCGCAGGTGGAGGATTAGCCTATTGAGCTGCGGTGCTAGCCCTGAATAGGGATTTTTAAGAGAGGAAATTCAAATGGCCAACAGACACTTAAAGTATAAAGAATTTCTTTGCAAGTGATAAGCATGTTCTAAAACTGATTATGGTGATGACTGTGTATACCTGTGAATTGGACACTCTGAGTGGATCATATGGTACATTAATTGTAACTCAATAAAGTTGTTTAAAAATAAACATATTATTACAGAACATTAAACCAGACTGGATGACAGATTAACAGGAAATATGACACTGAATATATCAAATTGCAATTGTATTCATTAATCTTTAATAGTTTCAAAATACACATAAAAATAGGGGTTGGTGCTGTGTCATAGTAGGTTAAGCTTCTGCCTGTGACACTGGCTTTCCCTATGGGTGCTGGTTCAAGTCCTGGCTGCTCCACTTGTGATCCAGCTCCCTGCTAATGGCCTGGGAAAGTAGTGGAAGATGGCCCAAGTGCTTGGGCTTCTGCATCCACGGAGGAGACCTGGAATAAGCTCCTGGCTCCACATTGGCCAAGCTGTATTTGTTGTAGCCATTTGATGAGTGAACCAGTAGATGGAAAACCTCTCTCTCTGTCTCTTTTTCTCTCTGTCTATGACTCTGTCTCTCAAATGAATGCTCTTAAATTTAATAAAAAATAAAAACAAAAAAGTGAGGACAAAATACACATAAATAAAAGATAATTAAGTCAAAATGTTTCCTGTAGGAGATACTCTTGAATGTTTTCTACTTTCTCTATAATACATATTATTACAATGATAATCAGGATAAAGGTGTAATAGCAAAATAGTCATAAATGTGTGAAAATACCCATGGGAAGAAGACCTGATCCACAGGATTTAGGTTCCCAAAAGCCACAGTCCTGAGCAAATCCCAAGTCCATTAAAGGAATCTGAGACACACTAAGTAACCAAATGGAAGAGCCAAGTCATAGAGTTGAAGGTTCCTGTTTATTGAACAATAATTATCTCCCCTCCCATTAATTCTTGCACAGCCCCAGCCCAGTTTACAATTATTAATCTTGCCTGGCATATTTATACCAACACTATTCACAAAAGTCAACATATGGTATCAATCTGAGTGTCCACCAACACATAAGTAGGTGAAAATATGGCAGTTAAGTACAATGGAACCCTATGCAGTCACAAAAATGGGTAAAATCTTGTCATCTGCGGCAACCTGGATGGACCTGGATACTATAATGTGAAGTGACACAGGCCAGGCAGAGAAAGACAAGTGCCACCTGATTTCACCCAGAGGTGGAATCTAAAGAGGCTGAGTTCGTAGATGTTGAGAGTAGTGGCTACCAGAGGCTGAGGAGCAGTGGGGAGAGAAAGCCATGTGGGAGATTTGTTAATGGGTACAAGGTCACAGCCAGACAGGAGGGATAAGTTCTGGCATGCTATCACACGGAAGCGTGACTACAGTCACCAATACTGTTCCAAAATTCAAAGTGACTAGAAGAGAGGGGTTTTTTTTGTTGTTGTTTTTTGTTTTTTTGTTGTTTGTTTGTTTTTGACAGGCAGAGTGGACAGTGAGAGAGACAGACAGAGAGAAAGGTCTTCCTTTGCTGTTGGTTCACCCTCCAATGGCCGCCGCAGCCAGCGCGCTGTGGCCAGCGCACTGCGCTGATCCGATGGCAGGAGCCAGGTGCTTCTCCTGGTCTCCCATGGGGTACAGGACCCAAGTTCTTGGGCCATCCTCCACTGCACTCCCTGGCCACAGCAGAGAGCTGGCCTGGAAGAGGGGCAACCGAGACAGAATCTGGCGCCCTGACTGGGACTAGAACCCGGTGTGCCGGCGCCGCAAGGCGGAGGATTAGCCTATTGAGCCGCGGCACCGGCCGAAGAGAGGGTTTTGAATGTCCTTGTCAGAGAAGTGGTAGATGTTTATGATGATAAATGACCTAATTACCCTGACACAAAGTATAAATGAACTGAGACTTCACACTGTACCCCAGAAAGATGTATAAGTATTGCCTTTCAAGGAAAAAAATCATTTTAAGAATAAATAAAATAATACATTTGATTTGACTTCCATTGAAACACCCTGAAATGAAAGAGCATTTGTCTCTGGTTATATCCAAATTAATGGAAGCCATCTCAGGTTATTGGGCTTGTACATACAAACCTGGAAACATTGCAGATGCCTGGCTTAAAAATAAAAATAATAAATGTATAGGCTACAGTGAAATCTCATTAAACAGACCCTGCAGCTTCAGAACCCAACAGCATAGGTCTCGGGGGATTTCATCTCACCCTGTGTAAAATTGAGGCCTCCAACTCCGTCAATTGTGCCAGCTGCAAAACTGTAGCCCAGTGCCGGTTTACAGGTTTTTACCTAAGGAAAATTTTCCAAAACAAGAAAGAAATAGAATTTAAGCTGTGAGTAAATGAGGTCAACCCAGAGCCTTACCCTTGTGGCCTAATCAGGGTGACTCAGTGATACTTACTGCATGTGTGGAATTGAGCCAGACAGTCACATCTGTCATATTGACCCACTGGTGGGCCGAGGCCACTGGTCCCTTCACCTCCTGGGAGGCAGAGATATACAGATCCTGAAAAAGCCACACAGGTTTACTTTCTCAGGCAGAAAAGCTGTAACCTGATTAAGTAGCAACTTGAAAAAGCATCTCACAGCAAAGAAGTAGTCACTACCGCTGTGGATCTCCTGACCAACCCCAACAGCTCCCTATGATTTAAAGTCTCAGAGATTGTGCACCTGCGTCTCCTCCCCACAAATATAAAGGCTGTGGCACAGAAAGCCCCAACCCCAACTGAAAGACAGCCAAGAACATCTAAGATTAGGAGTAGGTGAGGCAAATTACTTTCTTTATAAGAATGAGGGTGTATTTTCAGTTATTATTCTTTATGTATTTGGGTTGTCTTTTTGAGAGGCAGAGAGAACCCCTATCTGCTGACTCACTTCCCAAATGCCCACATCAGCTGTACCTGGGTGGGGCCAAATACAGGTGCCAGAAACTCAACCCAGGTGTCCCACGAAGGTGACAGGAACCCATCACCTGCTGCCTCCCAGGGTACACCTTAACAGAGAGCTGGAGTCAAGGAGCTAAAGCTGGACTTAAACCTTCTGATGTGAGGCATCAATATCTTCTTCTTAAGATTCATTTATTTATTTTGAAGGGAGAAACACAGAGAAGGAAAAAGGGTGGGGGGAGAGAGAAGTATCTTCCATCTGCTGGTTCAATCAGCCACAATGGTCGGGACTGGGTCAGGCTGAAGCCAGGAGCCAGGAGCCAGGAGCTGCATACTTGGGCTATCCTCCACTGCTTTCCCAGGCACATTAGTAGAGAACTGGATCAGAAGTGGTGCAGCCAAAGACTGGCACCCATATGGGATGGCGGCACCGCAGGTAGAGACTTGACCTTCAATACCACAGCACCAGCCCATGAATATCCTAACTGGCACCTTAGCCACTAGGGCAAAAGAGCGTCCCTCAGGTCACATTCTTACTAGACTTCTCCTTCTCTGAATCCCAGAGTCCACCAACAGCACCAGTAACATCTAACCCCTGTCTCCACAGCCACGTGTGGCTGTCCAGGCAAGTCGTTGGCAACACCAGCTGTGACCGGCCTCTCCAATTATGAGGGACAGTTGTGCCTTGCTGTGAATGCAGAATGTGGGACACATCTCTCTGGCTCCCAGGCCCAGAATAGAAATAAAATTTCTGACACTAAAGCATGTCATGGACACACACCTTAAATAGAATCTCTTAATTTAGAATAACCCACTCTTGATATCACAGTAATTAAAAAGAAACTACAGCAATTAGGCTGGCTACTGTGTTTTTCAAGGTGCTTTGTTCTTCCTTAATTGCTCCTGAAACAACTTGGAACCCTTGGAATAAATTATTAAGCACACACACACACACACACACCACACAACAAAGGTATGAGTAAGCTAAAATATAAAGGGATTTCACTGTCTCTGTCAGGGACATCTCAGTCTGAGATCACCTTTTCGCTTTTCCCTCAGAAGCTGATACAAAATGTGAGAAGTGGAAGATAAAATTTGAGAGATGGAAGAGAGTAGAATTAGTTGCTGTAATCTCACCACAGATCAGATTCTCCCTTCATCAGAAAGTTGTTTTTTCTGAGGGAAAGAACTAGTGGATATTTTTATCACATTGGAGAAGAGTAGAGACTGGTGGAACCCAGGGTGCACGAGCATGGACTTAGTTCACTCAGTTTCACCTTAACACCAAAGGAAAAATCTAGAAGTGGACAGGTGACTTTTTTGCAGAAAAAGGCCCAGAGAGTTCCAGGACTTTAGATCAGTCCAACCTATCTGACGCCATGTTCTTTAGAAACCTTAGAATCTACCCTGCTGCTATCTGAAGCAAGCCCCCTGGCTTTCTAAGCCTCCTGTCATGGAAAGATTTCCAGATAGCTTGGTTTTAAAAGCACTTCCTATTAGAAGTCACACCCAGGCAGTGAGAGACTCCTGTGTGGCTTGAGAAGGTGACCATCAAAGCAGACACCTCCCAGACTCCCTGCTGCAACCCAAGCTGTTGCTGTCTTCTGACAATTATGGGCTTCCTAGTGCATGGTGTCAGCGGACTTTGAGAACAATTCTAGGGGCTGCCATTGTGGCGCAGTGGGTTAAGCTGCTACCTGCAATGCAGGCAACCCATAAAGGTGCCAGTTCATGACCTGGCTGCTCCACTTCCCATCCATCTCCCTGCTAATGTGCCTGGGGAAACAGCAAAAGATGGCCCAAATTCTTGAGTCCCTGAAACCATGTGGGAGACTAGGAAGAAGCTCCTGGTTCCTGGTTTTGGCCTGGCCCAGCCCCCTAGCCATTGCAGCCATTTGGGGAGTGAACCATCAGAAGACAGATCGATCGATTGATCGATCGATCCATCTATCTCCAACTGTGCATTTCAAAATTTAAAAAATTCAAAGTGAAGATGAAAGGAGTTCGGTGTGTGCCATACCTTTGCTCTCTGATATATGATTTGTCCTATAATTTGTGTGCTATCAAACATATCCTGGCCAGGTCCCGTTGCTATGCACATATTAGGCTGTAACAAAATGAGAGAAGATGCATTTTTAGGAAAATAAGGGATTATTTTAAGCAATGGAAAATTACAACTGAATATAAACAAATAGTTTTTGAAGCCACAGTATAGCATTTCTTTTCAGATATTTTCTCAATGTAAGACAAAGAGATACAAAATCATATATGAAATGAAAATAGTGAATGTCTGCAGCAAGTATTTATTTCAGAATCTTTTTTAAGTTAGGAAGTTGAAGCTCAAGTTGGTTCAAAGATTTGTGAGACATTATACAGTCAGTATCAGAGACAAAACTGGAAGCCAGTCCTTCCCATTCACGCATCTTTCTACTGATTTGCTCTTACCTAGGACTCCTGCTCATGACTGTTTTAAGTTGAAACATAATCAAAATGATATTGGAGCAACTAGCTGGCCCCCTGGAGAAAAATAATAAATAAATCTGGCTCTGTACCCTACTTCTGACCTGTGAAAAATGTTAACTAAATGATTAAGCATTACAGGTGGAATAAATATGCTAGAAGAAAATTCGGGTGAATGTATTTTATAGTCTGTAAGTATGGAAGATCCTACTGAAAATAATAAACAATAGGCTTAGTAAATTTGACAGTTTAAACATTTCAAATGTCCCTTGTCGGGGTGGGGGACACAAGTTAGGTTGAAAGACAAATGATAAGAAAGGGAATAGGAAGATCGCACTGATTATAACAAAACTAAGACTTTAACATATTCAGAGCTTTAAAAACTCAAAAAAATAACCTTATGAATACCTTTTGATTCATCCATATTAAGTTGGAGTTTCTCTTATTTGCATAAAAAAAGAATCCTAATGGATGCACCGGGAATAGTATCAAACAAGCAATTACCAAACAAAATGCAAAAGGCCATTTGACATTAAAATATGTTCAATCTCATGAACAATAAAATGAATATTCAAATTGTGTTGGCAAAGATTATAACAATCTTGGTTTGGGTGAAGGTCTGGAGAAACTGTCATTCATATACTGTGGGTGGCAAGGTCATTGAGGGAGTACACTTGGGAAAAAGTACAGCACATGTTAATCATGCTTTATCTTTGACAGCAAATGGCCCTTTAAGAATGTGTCCTAAGCTGAGACTCACACATGTGGAAATACGTATGACAAGGATAGGGATCTTAGCATGCCTCTATAAAGGAAGAAAAGAAGGGAGAGGACTTGCGAAAGAAAGGAGGGAGGGGAAGCAAATACATCCACAGAGGACAGGTTAACGACACTGCAGTACTTTAGATGGAAAATCAGTTATTTTAAACAGTGTTACACAGCATGGTTATTGGAAATAAGGTAGCAGGTCACAGCACAGTTTTCAGTGTGATCCTATTGGTGTAGAACTGTACGTGTTATCTACGTAATGGAAACAAAAACTCTCTAGAAGATCACTCATAAAACTCTAACAGTAGTGAGCACAGTGTGCTGAAGGTTGTTGCTTTAGGTTAAAATTTTATTCTCTGAATTTTTCAATATTGTTAAAGTTTTTTTTTTTTTCACAAATGTCATTTTTCAAAAGATTCAAACTATTTTCTAATTAAAAAAAAAATCCTTCCTAAAGAATCCACATCAAAGCAGAAGGTGTGGCAATGTCTGCCCATCTCCCTGTTTCTCTTTCCTAAGAAAATCCTGATTTTCAGAGAGACATCTCTCCCTGGTAGCCAGTATGACTCAGAAGGAGCTGACCCCATTCCCAGGCCCAGATCAATCTAAGCAATCCCAGCAACTCCCCAGACGTAGCCAGAGACTGCTTCAGGAACTTCAGCTTATGCTAAGGAACACTACCATTGCCTCTAGCAATTGTTTAGACCAGGGATGGGCAAGTGACATAAGCTGCCCCAATCAGGCTGAAGAGAAGAATATTTATTCCATGGCTGGATGAGTGGTTTTCTCTCTCTCCCTCTGTATTTGAGGGGAAGGCACAAAGTCTGTCTTACACTGCCAGCCATCCTGCAAACACAAGGGAAGCCAAGAAGACATGTGGAAGGAACAAACTTAGAATTCTGGTTCATGGGGCTGTGGCGAGGGTGATATTTTTGTTCATTTTTCTGATTATAAAAGTAAAATAAACCCACCATAGAAAAAAATAGAAAAATTCATGAACAATAGCAGAATAAAAGCCATCCAAAATAGTGCCAGAAAGAAAAAGACAGTAACAGTCTAGATTGTTTCATTTTGTCTTTTGACTATATTTACTGTCAAAACAGCATTCATAATAAATATGGAAAATTAAATTCTGATTTGCTTACTCAGCATTGAGCAGTATGAGTCCTTCTCTCACACTATTCAATATTTCAACATGACATTAAATTTATGCATAATATTCTATTGCAAATAAGTAACACCATTTATTTAACCATTGACCTACAAATTTTGGAAGCTCACAGATGATCTTAAAATTCACTGCAAATTAATAAAATGTGTGAAAATTTACAAATAAAGAGCAATAAAGAAAAGTTTATAATAACAGTAACAATATATAATATGAAAAACAAATTATTGAAACTATATTGCTCACTGGGTGGGACTGACCAGGCTGGAAATAGTATATTAAAAAAGTAGTATCACAGGTGAAATGTCCTGTAAACAGAAGGAATAAGACCCAATGTTAGTAAAATGGTGCAGTAAAGTGAGAACATAGCCTTCCTCTTGGGCACTGTCTACCTCACAGAAAAAATAAGAAACTATCAGAACATGCTTGTGACTATAGACTTCTAGCTTAGGCCACCAAAGATTAGAGATGGGACTTGAGCATCCCCTTGATTTGCATCCTCTTAATGGTTTCCTCTGGTCTGCTTTAAAAAACCAGAAGGAAGAGAAGGCTAGGCATTAGAAGCAATGTAAAGCTAGGTGGCAGGCCAATTAATGGCTGCTTTGCACAGTGATCCTCCTTCAAGGAGACCCAACAGTCAGTCCACTGCAGTGGCTTTCAATGTGGAAAGCCAGGGCTTTAGCAGAAGGCAGCTTATGAAGAGCCCTGGCAGCTCTGCCAGCCAAGAGTTGGGTCACTGAAAATGGACCTGCCCTGGAGTCAAAGGATGCCCAGGTCAGAGCCACAGATCTTGCTGGCTCTAAGCTAAAAAGCCCTTCACTCAGCCCAACTTCCAAAGTAACCAGCGTTGCTGAGGGACGGCCAAGTAGGGTCAGCAACATGGCAGGCAGAACTGTAAATTTCCTGTTAGAAATGCCACCTGCCTTTACCTGGCCAGATCTCCTCCCAGGCCAGCCATGTAATGGAAGTCAACAAGGTGCCTTCCCCAAGGAGGTTCACACCTCCCTTATGATGCACCCATGCAGAGAGATAGATAGCTCTGGGCCTCATAACTGGCAAGGACTTAAAGCTCACCTGATTATTATCAGTCCCCTTCTATCAATTTATTTGCCTCTCAATCAGAAAACTTATTGGTGGTTTAGACAACACTTTTTTTTTTTTTTTTTTTGACAGGCAGAGTGGCAGAGTGGACAGTGAGAGAGAGAGACAGAGAGAAAGGTCTTCCTTTTGCCATTGGTTCACCCTCCAATGGCCGGCGCACCATGCTGATCCGATGGCAGGAGCCAGGTACTTCTCCTGGTCTCCCATGGGGTGCAGGGCCCAGGTACTTGGGCCATCCTCCACTGCACTCCCTGGCCACAGCAGAGAGCTGGCCTGGAAGAGGGGCAAGCGGGACAGAATCCAGTGCCCCAACTGTGACTAGAACCCGGTGTGCCAGCGCCACAAGGCAGAGGATTAGCCTAGTGAGCCGCGGCGCCGGCCTAGACAACACCTTTCTTAGGACCTCCAATAATAACTCTGTCCTTTGTTCTATACCCTGTCTAGCCCACTTGGGGCCTCATTCCTTTGGAATCATAGCTTCTTTCTTAAATTAATGGTTTTACTCCCAACCCATGTGTATTGATGGTCCTCTCTCCAACTTAATGTTGTATGATTGTTCAGAATTTTTCTACAGACAAACCCCTCTACCCACAAGACAGTGGCCTTTCTCCCCATTTTGGTTGGGGTCAGCTTCATAGCCTCTCTCTCCTCAGTAGTGATCTCAGGAACAGCGTTGGGCTACAACGTTATCTTGTCTTCAAAACAATTCCAACAGTTACAAGAGGAGGTCACTAGGTCCATCAAGACCTCAACTGATGCATCTGACATCTCCAAAACCATATCACCTCGGCAACTGGTGTGGTACTACAGAACAGACTGACCTTAACTCTGTTGTTATTATGTTAACCAATCGGTCCAGGTAAAACCACGTCCATCAAACAGTCCTCACTAGCCAGAGACGCCCCGATTTCCTCTCCTCTATGAAATCCTCTCATTACTTGGTTAACGTCACTCTTAAGACCTTTGGCAGCTATTCTCACTCTGGCTTTTATACTATCCTGTCTGTCTAAGTGTTTACATGAGGTGATAATGGAAAAAAACAAAGCCTTCACTCATCAGGCGGTCAACCAAATGCTGCTACAGGGATATACTCTGTTCCCCACCCAGAGATTGTGACTTGAGACATCGCCCCATGCCAGCAGAAAGTAACTCGTCACTCCATGTCTGCAGGAAGTAGCTCTAAAGACAGATCATCATCCCTCCACTACTCCTGGACTTTTGGGGCTGATGTAATCCCATATAACACTTGCTTCATAAAAAAGGGGGGGTATGTTAGTAAAATGGTGCAGTCTTGTCTGTGGCACAATTTATATCACAGACACATCCTAGTCTCTAGTCCCCACTGCCATTGCTAGAATCCAGGTGACCAGATGGCCCAACCACTAGTGTCAGCTCTACCCCCACCCTAATTTGGTTTGCTGCTCCCACTTCTCTGCCTTCCCGCCCCCGACAAAGGTAAAACAGGACCTGCTTCCCACGTATGTGCTCTCTTGAACTCTGTCTCTGATCTGTTTCTCTCCCTCGACTCCTCTCTCTCTTCTTCACCCCTTCCCTCGCAGCCAGTAGGAAATTCCCCATCAGTAAACTCTATCCCTTAACTCCAGTGTTGGTATGGTTTGTGGTGCTCTTACAACCAGAAACTAGCACCTGCTGCTCATGTCAACTTGAAAATAAATCCAAATGAACGCTGGGTGAAAGCAGTTAATAAATGATTGCATACTCATACTTATTGTTTCTAAAAAATTGACCCACAGACCTGGATATAGGAATAAAAGCATTGCTAAGATACATTAGGCAAAAATTTCAAGTACTAGGCTAATAAAAATCCACAAATAAGTCACCAAATTTTGTTTACAATATATGCACAAATCCATAGGAAAAATCTTAAGAACAGTCCCCTCTGGGAAGGGGAGAGGAAAGAGGATGAAGAGAGGCTTTCAATTTTCACCTCTCGTTGTCCTTCTACCTTGTTGGAATTTTTACAGCAAGATTTCTTTGTAATTTTAAAAGGAAAAATAATTTTTATTTTATATTTATAAAAAAAACCCTACAAACTTTATAATCAGTGAGAAATGCCTCAGGCAGGCAGTTTTTGGCACAAATCTAAGCATTTAGATATGCCAAGCAAAATGTTTCAGACTGAGCTTGAGGAAGGATACTTAAACTCTGACATTCACTCAATTATCTCAGCATGCCAAAAAAAATCAATTACATGTCTTATGGAAAAGCATTACTTTACACACACAAAAAATCAGTGAGTTTGGTCAGGTACATTTGAGAAAGCAGATGCTAGGAGTAAAGAAAACAATGCATACTTGAAGACAACATATTTGCATATGTGATTAGTCAAATAGGAAGCATATATGAGTTGCAAAACCAAAGATTTCATATACCATAGTTACCTACCCCACCAATAGGACAACTACTATTGGCGTTATCACAAGACTCTCCGGTGTTGATGCAATGTGGGCCAACAATGTTGGAGGACACGTCTCCTAGGTTTGATGAAGCAAAAGCTGCTACAAATGGTCCCTGTCAAAAGAAACATGCAAGTGCCTTTGATTCTCTTACTTCCTGCAATGACTTCCATTAAAAATGCAAATATTCAATCTGCTCCGGCAAACTATTCAAAAATCATTTGCAGACAATAAAAAAAGACTATTCTGAGAACTTATTTTATTTCTGAAAGGTTCTCCTTGCAGTCACTGTATATATTATTATGGAAAATAATCCAATTATCAACAAAGTTGCTTTAAGGAGGAGAGTTTCAAATGTATGCATCAAACAGAAATATTTTGACAGGAAGCACACTATGTAACAACAAATTATAAAGTGCTGACCCATCAATCTAATCTCTGGTGATTTATCTGGAGCTCAGAGATCCATTTGGCTTTTAAAAATAAACATCCTATTGGCTTGAAAAGAGAAGAGCTAATGCAGATTTTCCGGTTGCAAAACTAATCCTAAATATACTACCTGCCATCTGGACCTGCCCTATGTATATCTTGTCTCTAACTCTTGAACCTGATTAGAGTGGTGCAGACGAACAGCAGCAACCAAGCTGGCCTTCACCTTAAATGTCTTAAATTTTCTTAGGGAAACAAATTATTAAGAATTGGAGATAAGTTTTCTTTTTTTGATACTAAAAAGATAATTTACCACAAAGTGTTCTAGCATCCAGTGACCATAAATGAGAGCTTCTTTTCTTTTCCCTGTCATACAGACTACAGTGAGAAAATCAAGGGAGTATTGTCAACAAAGGAGCTAACGGGCAGACTGAATGCTAAAGGAGTTAACATCTTTATGATGGAACATTCTAGGCAAGCACTTGGGACTCCATCCCATCAGGTATTCTTTTGCACCGCAAGCATCAACGCTGGAGTCAAGTAGAACAGGGTCTCTCTCCACTTAGCTACTTTCCTTTACTAATTTATCCAAAATTGAGAATCTTCTAGACTATATGGACTGGTTTCCTGGCCTCTCTTGTCTTACCTCATCACTCACTGAGTTTTAGAGTTACAAAAACAAGTCTGACAGATTAAGACTGTCTCTGCCTTAGACCTAATTACAGAGAAATAGAACAGAGTCCTTGAGAGGAATTTCATCAAAGAATGTTTTGGACCAGTGAAAATAACTCATCACCTGTCCTCATTCAAGGTTTTTATACCAATAAGAAGATGCATAATAGCTTCATAGCTCTAAAAATAAAAGTAAAATTTGGCGCATTTAATCAAGCTTCCAACTTGATCAGAAACTTTTACATATTACAGAAACCTTGAATTTGCCCTTCTTTATCCAACTAATTATAACTTCATGAAATCATCATTATATATAGCATATGCCACAAAAAGAAAATGGTTTATCACTTTAAATTTTCTTTCTCCTATTAAGCAGGACAATGTATTCTTTCTCTCCAAGCATATATGTACATGAGGTCCATGATGTTACTCTATTCTATTGAATTTATTCAGCTATTCTCAATACTGCCTGAATGATGGCACTCAATGGACCAACATGATTCTTTCAAGAACACAAAATCTCACCTGCCCAGGTAGATCTCCTCTGTTCTTCTCTTGCTCAAAAAGGTAAGATGCATAGCCCATATTGTCGCCATTTACAAGATGGTTGCTGTTGTTCATGCTGACTGGATGGATGGCAAACCAGCTATAAAAGAGCAAGAATCCCTAAGTCATCAAGAAAACAAGAGAACTAGGGCCAAAACAGAGAGACTGGAAGTTTCCATATTTTCCAGCAAGAAAAAATACATTAAATAATAGACATTCCACATTTAAATTATTTTATTTTCAATGAATATGAATCACAAATACAGTACTAAAAATTCTTGGAACTTGCTTAAATAATACTATAGGACTCTGTTTTCATTAATATTTCATCTTCTTGTTCATCATCATGTACTTTTCACAAGAGCCAAGACCGGTGAGTTACCAGATGACATAATTATAATTATCCAAGTGAATCGAATCCAATTCACTAGAAATTTACTGAGGGTCACCTGTCTGCCAAGCAAGGAATAACCTGTGGTTTACTGACAGGCTCTCACAGGAAAGAGATGTGAACAAATGGCTTTATTACAGTGTGACAAATATTATGAAGAAATAGACATAGCATGTTTGGAGAGTACAGACGACTAGCCATCGATTCTTAAAGGCATTACAGGGAGATGGAACCCTGGAATAAATGCACAGAGGCTAATTCTGTATATCCTCATGCAAAGCAATACTTTGTTCAAGTGTAGAGCTGTGCAGTTTATAAACTAATTTTTTTTGACAGGCAGAGTGGACAGTGAGAGAGAGAGAGACAGAGAGAAAGGTCTTCCTTTTTGCCGTTGGTTCACCCTCCAATGGCCGCTGCAGCCAGCGCACTGCAGCCGGCATATCATGCTGATCCGAAGCCAGGAGCCAGGTGCTTCTCCTTATCTCCCATGTGGGTGCAGGGCCAAGGACCTGGGCCATCCTCCACTGCACTCCTGGGCCACAGCAGAGAGCTGGCCTGGAAGAGGGGCAACCGGGACAGAATCCGGCGCCCCAACTAGGACTAGAACCTGGTGTGCCGGCGCCACAAGGCGGAGGATTAGCCTAGTGAGCAGCGGCGCCGGCCAGTTTATAAACTAATTTTACATCTGTTACTGGCTTTGAACTTCACAACACTGAGGGATAAGCTGTTTTACCTCCAATAGATGAGTCAGAGAAGCAAAATGATAAACCATTTGTCATAGAGGACAAGGACTCAAGTCTGAGTCTCACAACACTTTTTCCAATGACCTTGTAGGATCAAACCTCCATACAGGTGAAAAGGGAATTTACAGAATGGAAGTCAGTAAAGCAGATTAGCCGGAATGCTTAAGGAAAGAGAAACACCAATTTATGATCATTTAGGAGGTTTTTTTTTTTTTAAGGTCTATTGTTGATTCGATTCTTTGCTTAAAAAGTTTAATCATTTTCACTTAAATTCCTATCTAAGTAATATAATGCATCCAAAATAAACATTTACTTAATGCTTAAGGATGTTTTCGGACTTTAAGATCATCTTTCAGGATGCCTAATAGTCTACAAAGGTCAGAGGCAAACACTCCATAGCTCAGTAGGAATGAGCAGGAACAAAACCGAGTTATGGTCACTGGTACAATAGAGACTAGTATGGCATTTGGAGATCTCCAAGCACTTGAAAATTCTAAAAGCCACAGCCTGTGTTCAACTTCAGCCAAATGATGCTCATATGATAGGATAAGCCAGTGCAAATTTTTCAAAAAGATCCACAAATTCATGTTAAAACCTTAAAAATCTTCAAGAGGTAAATGACACAGAAACCAAGGAAAGTAATGGCTACAAATTAAGAGACTTAAGACACATACCCAACAAATACAGTCTGAAGACCATTTTTGGATTCTGGTTCAATTAAAACACCAGTAAACAGGGGCCGGCTCTGTGGCATAGTGGGTAAAGCCGGGGGCGGCAGTGCTGGCATCCCAAATGGGCGCCAGTTTGAGTCCCAGCTGCTCCACTTCTGATCCAACTCTCTGCTATGGCCTTGGAAAGCAGTGGAAGATGGCCCAAGTCCTTCGGCCCCTGAACTCACATGGTACACTCCAAAGAAGCTCCTGGCCCTTGGCTTCAGTCTCTCTCTGTCTCTGCTCTGCCTATCTGTAACTCTGCCTTTCAAATAAATAAATAAATCTTTTTTTTATTTAGTAAATATAAATTTCCAAAGTACAGTTTATGGAATACAATGGCTTCCCCCCCACATAATTTCCCTCCCACTCGCACCCCTCCCATATCCCGCTCCCTCTCCCATTCCATTCACATCAAGATTCATTTTCAATTCTCTTTATATACAGAAGATTGATTTAGTATATATTAAGTAAAGATTTCATCAGTTTGCACCCACACAGAAACACAAAGTGTAAAATACTGTTTCAGTACTAGTTATAGCATTACTTCACATTGGACAACACATTAAGGACAGATCCCACATGTGAAGTAAATACACAGTGACTCCTGATGTTGACTTAACAATTTGACACTCTTGTTTATGGCCTCAGTAATCTCCCTAGGCTCTGAGTTGCCAAGGCTATGGAAGCCTGTTGAGTTTGCCGATTTTAATCTTATTCCAACAGGGTCATAGTCAAAGTGGAAGTTCTCTCCTCCCTTCAGAGAAAGGTACCTCCTTCTTTGATGGCCCCGTTCTTTCCACTGGGATCTCACTCGCAGAGATCTTCCATTTAGGTTTTTTTTTTTTTTTTCCAGAGTGTCTTGGCTTTCCGTGCCTAAAATACTCTCATGGGCTCTTCAGTCATATCCAAATACCGTAAGGGCTGATTCTGAGGCCAGAGTGCTGTTTAGGACATCTGCCATTCTATGAGTCTGCTGTGTATCCCGCTTCCCATGTTGGATTGTTCTCTCCCTTTTTGATTCTATCAGTTAGTATTAGCAGACACTAGTCTTGTTTGTGTGAACCCTTTGACTCTTAGACCTATTAGTGTGATCAACTGTGAACTGAAACTGAACACTTTGACTAGTGAGATGGCATTGGTATATGCCACCTTGATGGGATTGTATTGGAATCCCCTGGCACGATTCTAAGTCCACCATTTGAGGCAAGTCCGTTGAGCATGTCCCAAAATGTACATTTCCCCACTCTCTTATTCCCACTCTTATATTTAACAGAGATCACATTACAGTTAAAATTTAAACACCTAAGAATAATTGTGTGTTAATTACAGAGTTCAACCAATAGTACTAGAACAAAACAAAGAAAAAATACTAAAATGGATAAAGTATTACATTGTACATCAACAGTCAGCACAAGAGCTGATCAAGTCACTGTTTCTCATAGTGTCCATTTCACTTCAACAGGTTTCCCCTTTGGTGCTCAGTTAGTCGTCGCCGATCAGGGAGAACATATGATATTTGTCCCTTTGGGACTGGCTTAATTCACTCAGCATAATGTTTTCCAGATTCCTCCATCTTGTTGCAAATGACCGTATTTCATTGTTTTTGACTGCTGTATAGTATTCTATAGAGTACATGTCCCATAATTTCTTTATCCAGTCTACTGTTGATGGGCATTTGGGTTGGTTCCAGGTCTTAGCTATTGTGAATTGAGCTGCAATAAACATTAAGGTGCAGACCACTTCTTTGTTTGCCAATTTAATTTCCTTTGGGTAAATTCCAAGGAGTGGGATGGCTGGGTTGTATGGTAGGGTTATATTCAGGTTTCTGAGGAATCTCCAGACTGACTTCCCTAGTGGCTTAACCAGTTTGCTTTCCCACCAACAGTGGGATAGTGTCCCTTTTTCCCCACATCCTCTCCACCATCTATTGTTGGTAGATTTCTGAATGTGAGCCATTCTAACCAGGGTGAGGTGAAACCTCATTGTGGTTTTGATTTGCATTTCCCTGATTGCTAGCAATCTTGAACATTTTTTCATGTGTCTGTTGGCCCTTTGGATTTCCTCTTTTGAAAAATGTCTATCGTCCGGCACCGCTGCTCACTAGGCTAATCCTCCGCCTTGCGGCGCCAGCACACCGGGTTCTAGTCCCAGTCGGGGTGCCGGATTCTGTCCCGGTTGCCCCTCTTCCAGGCCAGCTCTCTGCTGTGGCCCAGGAGTGCAGTGGAGGATGGCCCGAGTACTTGGGCCCTGCACCCGCATGGGAGACCAGGAGAAGCACCTGGCTCCTGGCTTCGGATCAGCGTGGTGCGCTGTCCGCAGTGCACCAGCCGCGGTGGCCATTGGATGGTGAACCAACGGCAAAAGGAAGACCTTTCTCTCTGTCTCTGTCTCTCACTGTCCACTCTACCTGTCAAAAAAAAAAAAATGTTATTGAGGTCCTTGGACTATCTCTTAAGTGGATTATTTGTTTTGATGTTGTAGAGTTTCTTGATTTCTTTGTAGATTCTGGTTATCAACCCTTTATCTGTTGCATAGTTTGCAAATATTTTTTCCCATTCTGTCAGTTGCCTTTTCACTCGTCTGACTGTTTCTTTTGCAGTACAGAGACGTCTCAACTTGATGCAATCCCAATAGTTAATTTTGGCTTTGACTGCCTGCGCCTCCAGGGTCTTTTCTAGGAAGTCTTTGCTGGTACCTATTTCTTGCAGGGTTTCTCCAATGCTCTCTAATAATTTGATGGTGTCAGGTCATAGATTTAAGTTTTTAATCCATGTTGAGTGAATTTTTGTGTAAGGTGAAAGGTAGGGGTCTTGCTTCATGATCCAATTTTCCCAGCACCATTTATTGAATAGACTGCCCTTACTCCAGGGATTAGTTTTGGATCCTTGATCAAATATAAGTTGGCTATAGATGTTTGGATTGATTTTGGTATTTCTATTCTGTTCCATTGGTCTATCCATCTGTTTCTGTACCAGTACCATGCTGTTTTGATAACAACTGCCCTGTAGTATGTCCTGAAATCTGGTATTGTGATGCCTCCAGGCCGGCGCCGTGGCTCACTAGGCTAATCCTCCGCCTTGCGGCACCAGCACACCAGGTTCTAGTCCTGGTTGGGGCGCTGGATTCTGTCCCGGTTGCCCCTCTTCCAGGCCAGCTCTCTGCTGTGGCCAGGGAGTGCAGTGGAGGATGGCCCAAGTGCTTGGGCCCTGCACCCCATAGGAGACCAGGAGAAGCACCTAGCTCCTGCTTTCGG